GGATGACACAAAAATTTGGTTATTAATTGATTAGGACTTGATGTGGAAGAACCTGATCGTGCGGTTGTAAAAGTTGTAGAGGATTGTTCTTGCTTTATTACTAGTACAAAAATTTTATCATTATCTTTATAATCATCTGTATAAAAAATTAATATTTAAAAAAATAATTAATATTTTTTAAGAAAGATATTAAAATTGCAATATATATATATAAACTTAAATCTATATACCATCTATATCTTTCTTTTTTTTTTGTTCTCAGATACTGGTAATAATAAAATTCGTTCAATTTCTTTTGCTGTATTAGCTTCAAAAAAACTTTCATATTTTGATAAATGATTTCGACATAATCATCCATGATTTAAAGTACTGCATTTAGGTTTGATTTTAGCTGCTTCTAAACTACTGTTTTTAGCTATACACCAATTACATACAGCAAGTGCATTTGTAGGATTGTTAGAATTTTTTACTAAGATAAAAAAATTTTAAAAATTATGTTTTGACATTATAAACTTTTTATAAGTATCGAAGAAAGCAAAACTTGAGGTAGTTATAGTTTATAACTAAAATATAAAATTACTCAAAATAAGGTATAGAAGACTTGTCAAATTTCTTTGAGCACTATTAAAGAATAAATAGCTTATTTTATTTTATCTGTTTTCTATATTTTTATATCTTCTTAATATAGTTTCACTTTTAATTATTATAATTTTTATTTAATTATTTTTCATCTTACTAGTCTGAAACCTTATTGTCATATTTTAGATTCATGTTTGATTTGGTACTTGTGCCTCATCTATATTTGTTTGATTGGGGGAAGATGCATGCATGCATCTAGAATATGATCATTGATTGTATATATATACATACGTACGTACGTTGTAAAAGTTTGAAATTGTGTCAGGTCTAAATAATACAACTAAAACTTAACCAAAATACTCTAACTCGAATACCACAACTAGTACAACCAAACCCTAATAGTAGTAAGGCAACGATAAAGGCATGGAAAGACTTGGTCTGAGTAATCAGGGTGAATTAAGTTCTTAATAATAACATCAGATTAGAGCTCTGAATTACGTCACGAATCTCTTTATATAGAATCATGAGATTTGATTACGAATTCTTTAAGAACTAATCACAAGTTAAATACTTTAATTTTTTTAACTTGGAACTTTGAACTCTCCCAAATTATATTTTATTTTTTGGAAGAAACCTCCATTTATATAATTATACAGGAATAATGCGAACTCTAATTATTCTAATTATTCTAGTTATTCTAGTTATTCTAATTATTCTTATTATTTTCACTATTCTAATTTTCTTACTATTCTTTGAATTCCAGAAATTCCGGAAATCTGTACCACTGATTACTGCAGTAATAACTTTTTTGGAAAGGATGATCCTGCCATTTACAACATATATAGTGTCTTTGATTATATATTTGACAGTATATTTTACATATAATATCAAATTGTCATTCTTATGAATACATTTTATAACAAGTATAACAAATTTTTCTTTATCTAAATCTTTTTCTAATCAAGATTTTATTTGTATGTAGATTTTAGTGATAACATATAAATTAGGTAATGAATTAGTCCAACTTTTTTAGTACTAATTGTGTTTATATATAATAATATTTTAAACATATAATATAGATATAAAAAATATTTTTATATTGATTTAAAACTAGTGATATTTATAATCTAAACATATTTAAGCAAAATCTAAACATATGTATCATGATCATTTAGTTTTAAATTAATAAAGATCTTATATCATTATTTTATACCACTGTTTTTAAATACAGGTATTGTATAATTTTATATTGTTTAAATGCATGTTTCTGTTATTATCTTAATAATTAAGAATATTTTAAATCAGTAGTTATTAAATTGGTTAGTTACCAATAAATAAAATAGAATCACATAAGTAAATATAAAACACGATCTAACTTTAATATATTTCAGTAATAAGAATATATAATTTTTGAACATATACTGATATT